TATTCAAACATTCTTCAATATCATAGCTGAAAATTATTCAAATATTCAATTATTGGAAAATTTTAGTTGAAAAATATTCAATTATTCAAATATTCAGATTTTTGGAATATTACACTTGAAAAATGTTCAAATACTTTAGAGAATAGGTGATTGATATAGAGCACATACTTTTAAGAAATTCCTGTGATTTGAATGATACAACCGGAGAACGTATACCCTCGGAAACACATCTTTTATATCGGCGTCGCGGCGTGTGGGCGCGAAGCGCCCCCCCGACGAGCCGCGACCTAAGGGCGTCTGTGTGTACACAGTACGTGACGTATGTGGGCGTGCGTGTTGCTACGGTAGGCAGTGACGGAGCCAGAGGAGGCTAAGCCCTTTTACAAAAGATTATCAAATCCGGTTTTCTAGAGACCAAGACCAACCCTGAAGGGGAGTACAGCATTTTTTTTTTTTGGTCGTTACTATGAGTTTTCAAGCAGGTTTTTTGTAAGAATAGTCAGCTTCGACATGGAAGGACTGAGCCTTTGCCCCCTAGCGAATATTTGAATATTTTTCAGCTAAAATTTTCCAATAATTGAATATTTTTCGACTAAAATATCTTAATAATTGAATATTTGAATAATGTTCAGCTATAAAATTGAAGAATATTTGAATATTTTTCGATTAAAATATTCAAGTATAATATTTGAATATTTGAATTCAAATATCGTATGTGACACTACTGAATGACGATGGTCTGCATATAAATAAAATAAAAAAAATTTGTAGACGGAGGGAGAGAAAGTGAAAGAAAGGACTATGTACACCTAATCATCAGAAGAAGTTTTTTGGAAATGATGATGTAACTTGTAGTTTTTTGGTGGTAGATAAAATGAAAAACAGTGCTGGGAAAAAAGAGCGAAAACGAAGGAAACCAAGATATGCGCTTAATAAAAACAAGAGATTTGATGATAATGATTATTTAATTGATGCTCTTGTGTTTATGTCGAGAATGAACGACAGCGGTCGGAAAAGAAGAGAGAAGAGGAATAGAACAACGAAATATAGTGTTTAGAAAAACCGAATCTAGGCGAGGATTAGATTTTGTGAATGTTAGTAGCGTTGTTTGTGTTGTGTTTATATGTAATATGGAGTGGAGTAATGAAAGAAAAATAATGAAAAACAAAAAACAAGGGTGTGGGTGAGTCTCGACTTAGGGATGTGTATGATGCACCCACACTTACCCGCGCACCTTCATCGATGTATTCAATAACTCTCTCTTAGAGTATAAGATTGTTAGAATGCAATTAGAAATGTTTTCAAGATGATTGTATGCTCAAAATATACCTGTGACAAATATTTAAATCACGATGACTACAAATTCTTTTCATATCTTTCCATTGAACAACTTTACTAACTAAATGAAAATAGTTTTTTCTATATTTATTCAAAAATTATCAATCAGATAAAAACTGTTCGATATTTGTATCAATATATCTTCTTATCGTAATATTTATTTTATTACAAAATACTTTTTCAAATATAAAAAGCAAACATATAAAATCGATGAAATATGAAAAGTCTTTAAGAAGTTAAATCTTTATAACATTGATCACAAACACGTTTTGGTTTTTTTGATGTTGCTGCAACAACAGCTGTTTTTGATGAACAAGGGTCACAAAAGATATTTCCACAATTTCGACAATGATGTTTACGTTGTGTGACAGAAAATGTTTGATGACATTTCATACATGAATTAATATCATCATCATCTATCCATCGACGTTGACTTACTTTATTTAGTTGAATCTATTCAGAAGAAAATAAAGTTTTGAATGAAAAACAAATAATTTTGAAATGTTACTTGTTGACTTTGAAATTCTCGAGCCATTTCTTGTAAAGCTGCTTCTGAATTGGAATTTTTCTTAATTAATTGAGCATTTTCAGCTATAAGTTTTTCATTTTTGCTTTCGTTTGCTAATGATCTTTCTAATAAAACACGTCGTTCTTCTTGACTTACAGCTAAACGTGCATCCGTATCTAAAATAGAAAATATAACACATAAACAAGAATTTATCTTATGTACAAACCAGCTTTTTCTGCTTTAATATGTTCAAGTTCTGCTACTTTTACATTCGCAGCTCTTAATTCAGTTCGTACAGTTGCTAAGTTTTCTTTTAATGCAGATAGTTGCATTTCATTTTTTTTAATTTGAAATTCCAGATCATGTTTTAATGATGTCTAGAAAAGTGAAATAGAATAATTTTAAAATAAATTTTGTTTAATATACAATTTGTTTTTCATATTTTTCTCGTTGAGTATCAACTGCTTGTGTCGCATCAGATAATGACTCTGAAACCTAAATGTAAAAAATATAATATAAATACGGAATATTTATTCTCAAATATGTTAATACCTGTAATAAATTATTATTAAGTTCACCAAGTTGTATTTCAAATTTTCGTTTTTGTTCATGATGTTCATCAATTAATTTATCATGTGCATGTTTTATTTTATTCAATTGTTTTTCAGATTGTTCTTGTTGTTCGTTTAATTTTATATTATCTTTTTCAATTTGTTCATTGAATTTAGTCTATTTCGAAATAAAAACAATACAAAATAGATTTAATAATCAAAAATAATAGAGGAATACCACCTTACTATCAGTAAATAATGTATGATAAATAGATAAATAAGAAGTAAATTCTTCACGAATTTGTTCTAATGTCTGTGTACGCATTGATTGAGACTCTTGTTTAGTCTAAAGGAATTACATGAATTCTATTTAATATCGGTTTACAATTACCTGTTCAATCATAGTCAATATATTCATTTGATTTTTATGAATATTTTGTTCGATATATGCATGAGTTTTATGTGCAATATCAAGACTACGATGAATACCAACAGATAATCGTTTAATTGAATTATTCTAAGAATAGAAATATTAGTTTATCAGAAGATATCATTTTGTTGTTAAATACTTTATGATCTAATTTATCATATAATTCTTCAATTATTTGTTGTTTAATTTGTACTTGTTGTTCAATATCGTATTTTTCTTTTTCAATAGTATTTAATTGTACTTTAATTACATTCTGTAATTGTTCTTGTTGATTGATTGTTTGTTTTAAATCATTTCTTTCTTTTTCAAATCGTTTTACTTGACTTATTGAATCAGTTTTTAAGGTATCTATTTCTTGATTCTGAAATTCGAAACATATAAAATGTAGATATAACAATGAATTAATATACCTGATTATTATTAAGTGCCTTGGCTATTCGAAGACTGTTTTCTGTGCTAATATGCTGTTCACGTAAGGTAGATATTTGATGTTTTAATTCATTTATTTTTTGTTCCTAAACATTAAGAAAAGTTGTATATGGAATCTAGGGTAGGTGTAGATATTGTTTTTATCATACTTTATCTTTGTTATTCTCATCAGATTGTTTCTTGAGTAAATCCATTTCATTATTAACTCGTATTTGTTCATTCCGTAATTGATTCTATTCAATAAAATAAAAAATAATAGATCTTTAAAATATTTTTCTATTACTTTCTCATTCGTTATTTGTAAAATTTGTTTAGACATATGATCACATTCATCTTGAATTTGTTGTCGTTGATTATTTAGTTCTTTAATTTGTATTCGACATTCTTTTATTTGTTGTTCATATTGATCCTTAATAAAATTGAATTAAAGTTAAAAAAAAAATTTTTCTTTCCTTCACTTTTTCTTGTAGAATCTGTCGAACAAAATTTTGTCTATCATTATCTTGATCATCGCCAATTTTCGTTTGAATAACTTGATTTTTTTCTTCTTTCAATTCATTCGAAGTTTTTTCTAATAGATGAATTTCATTATTTAATGTTTCAATTTGATTTCGATAAGAATTTATTTGTCTTTGTTCAATTTGTAAATCATTCTGTAATTGAATATTTGTCTGTTTAAGTTGTTTCATTTCAGTTTGATTCTTTAAATACAGACAAAGAGTTAAGTTAGATAAATTTCATCGCTAAAACTATTGTTTTATGAGCTGCAGAAAGCGTAATATATAAACAAAACTCTGTAATAGGAATGCGCAGTTTCAGTAAACTGTGCACTGACACTGGGTTTACTGATGCAGTGGAACCACCCGGATAACGACGAATACCGACTATGCCAGGTGAATCCACAGCATCAGTGAATCCGGTGTCAGTGCTACGGCTGTTGATTGATTTTAGGTCTATATATTTATTAAAGTACCTCTAGAAGACGATTACGCATATATTTAACAGCATTCTTGATATTTTCTTGTCGTTTATGAGTTATTCGAACAAATTGTTTTATTGCATTAATTTCATGTCCAATTTGTGAAGTATTTTCATTAATTAATTCATCATGAATTGATAAACTCTATATTAAATTATATTTATAATAATAAACGAAAAAATTAGTTTACTTGATTGAATTTCGTTTCTACTCGTTCTAATTTAAGTACAGATTGATAACTATGAAAATAATTATAAATTTATGTTTGAATTCAAACTATTTTACAAACTTTTCCATGAGAATATTTCGTAATTTATCAATTTGTTGTTCTTTTTCTAATGCCATTTCATTCATACATTGTTGAACAGTAATTAATTCTCGCTTGAGTACATCAACATCATCAGTAGTCGATCTATGAATGAATAAAAACAAAATGAACGAAAATATTCGAATATATCTAAGAAGCTAACATGCAAGTGAGTATATATCTACTAAGATACTACTTACAAACTAGATGGAATTAAAATGAAAAAAAAAAAAAATATTTATTGAATGAAGAAATCAATTGATAGTATAATTATTTTTAACCTAAATAAATTTACCTTGGAATGAGATCATTGCGTAAAGTAGTTATTTGTTGTTCTTTTTCTTTTAATTCATCCTACAAAAATTAAAGATTTTGTATTAGAACAATGAGAGTTAAAATACAAACTTGTGTTTTAAGAAGTTCATTAGTAAAAATAGCGAATTGAGTCTCGTAGACATCTTTTGTAGCTTTTAAACTTGCAATTTCTTGTGACTAAAAATAGTTCAATAGTAAAGAAAAAGTTTGATTATTGTCTACTTGTTCAGCTGCTTTTGTTTGTGTAGATTTTAAATGTTTTTGTATTAATTGAAGTTCTTCTTCAAGATCATTAGTTCGTTGTTTCTGTTGTATTAATTCATTGCTTACTAGAAAAATAATCTTTCATCGAAGATTACAGTAACGAAACTTATCTTAACAAAATTCAGATCAGATTTCAGATAAAATTATGACCTTGAAAATATTTTTATTATTGAATTTCACTTTCACTCTAACGGTCCAGCAATATACTCGAAGCAGAATGCTGCTTGTGCAAATATCTTAGTGCAAGATACCAAAACAAACGTCATTACTATTGAAAAGCCTAAGCTAGTAAAAGATATGCTCATGTTATATGAACACAAAGATATAGTTCATTTTTTTATCTATGAAACGAGCATCGATAGAAACTTAATACATTTAACATAATCAATTTGTAATTGATCTATCCTTACATATCATTCGAGTTTCTTCTGATGCCATAAATTGTTGTTTCCATAAAGCAATATCGCTATCAACATTCTCCTATAATAAATGATCTTATTGAATTATATTTATTATATTTATGTACTTGTTTGTTATTATCTTTAGTTGTATTTTCTTTTTCTATTACAGGTTCCTGTGTATGAGCGTCTGTATAATGTTGTGCAAGTGCTGTATGATCATTAAATTTTTGATGACACATTGGACAAAGAAAACCCTTTTGAGGTATATAATAAATAAATAAAAATATAATATACTAACAGAAAACTAACTTCTTCATCAAATGTACATGCTGGTGTTGTTGGTTCATTTTCAGTCGTAATAGTATTGCTGTTATTCGTACTATTAGGTGTGGTCTAAGTATAACGAATATGAATGATTAAAAGTAACGAATATAGACAAATGGGTATATTTTTTACTTTACGACTTTTTAATCGATTAAAAAGACCTGACATATTCGTTAGAGTAATATAAATTCAATTAAAAGATGTGTAAACTTATCTGTCATTGATATAAAGATTAAACACCTATTTGTTAAAAGGTAGAACCAGTTCACATGTAGTTAATAGACGAGGTCGCCAGTAATCATACGAACAAAAGAAGATCCTTATCTTTTGTTGTGTACGTTTCTGTCTCATCATTTTGTTAAACATATTTACATTCGTAGTCTTACTCATAAACAACTACTTCCAAGACATTACTACTGTATCTACTTTAATGCATCAAAAGATGATTGTCAAAGCTTATAATACTAATCATATATTTTTACAAGGATATCTATTTGAAAATACTATTCAACATAATTAATTAAAAAACATCGATTCATTAAGAAATAGAAGATTTGATAATACTTTTTTCTTCTCAATCCGACAAAATTCCCTTAGGTCAATTTCAGCTTGAACGTTGACATATATAAAGAAGAAATTGTTCATTAATTACAGTTCATTTCTAGATGTCATCATTGCCTTTATTATATGAAAGATTATGACATACAAATACAATCGATTCAATTTTGCAATTTTTGCATATTTCATTGTAGATATAAAATAATAAATACATTTAATTGAATTAATTCTCTGTTATTATATTTACAATCTATTTTATTTTATACATCACTGTTGCATATGCCTCGCCAATGAAAAAAACACGAACAAAGTTTATATAAGACAATAAAAAAAACACGAGAACAATATAAACATCTATATACAAGTCAAATATTAAATTTCAAAAGATTTTCTATGAGCAGTACTAATCATAGTTGAGATAGTATTCGATAACTAAATTTAAAAAGTTCGAAATTAGATTAACTGTATAAAGATCTTACTTTATAAATTCATTATTTCTATTTGATACTTATTAATTCCATAATATCAATTTGGTTGGATTTTAGTTCTTAATGATGTTTGATGTAGAACAGTCCTAGTAACAGTCACATTTTTTTTCTTCTTATGTGTTGCGTGATGGTATAAGAAAGAATATATTACGTATGAACACTCATAGAAAAGAAAAAAAAAGGTCCTTCTGTCGTAATCTTTATAGTTACTCGTTCTTTTTCTTCTGTTCAATTCTTATGTAAGATACTAAACGAGAAGGAGAAAAAGAAAGATTACGTAAGTTATCAAAGAAGAAAAGAAGATTAGTTTATTATGAGAAATGTCTTTTTTTTCTTACGTCAATGTCGAGTATATCTTTACCAAGTGGAAACGA